TCCCTCACGTGCTCTCCTCCCTCCTTTTACAAGTGTTTGCCCAACGTGAGCTCATCCGTGTCCGACGGCCTTGCTGGGAAGCCACTGTTTATTGCTGCTCCCCTGGACGAGCCTCAGCCCTCAAGCAAAGTCAAGACGTTGCTAAACACACGCGTGCGCACCCATCATTTACCTCCCGTAATTGCGCGAGGAGGCCGTGACACAGCACCTCACCGGATACATGGGCCTGTGACTATGTTTACTACTTTGCTCTTCCAACGTCTGAGAAATTACCCATTGAACTCGAAGTTCTGGTGTTAACACCCTCTTTACCGTCGTCATCACCGTCTCCATCGTCTCGTCACCTTGTTGATTTTCTCCTTTCCTGGTATTTCGGGGAGGTTTTCACCCTAATCTCTCCTAAAGCACTTTTCACAGACTTGGGGCCAGGAGTTAGTCTTTCAACTTGTTTGTGTACATTCCCAGGAATGGCCTCTTTTTCTCCAAAGGAAACGGTGTCCGGCCCCTGCTTTTCTCACCAAATTATGACATTTCCTCCTTTGGGGAGAAATGAGTGCTAAACTCCAGATGGGTAAATTATGTAAACGGCATTATTAATCAGTTAGATAAGAAGGACCCTCTTTGCCCAGAATCTCAATGTAGAGGGAAGAAAAGGCCGGGTTCGAGGATCCCTGCATCTGCCTGGGTTCAGTCCGGAGGCAGGAACCACAGCTGGTGACGTAGGGACAGTTTAACATAGAAATTATTAAGTCATGATACAAGAGCAACTGTAAGATCTGAGGAAACTGCCCGGCCAGCGGGGCTCAGGGGCTGAGCGTCAACCTATGAACCAGGAGGTCAGGGTTTGATTCCCGGTCAGGGCACAGGCCCGGGTTGTGGACTCCATCCCCAGTGTGGGGCGTGCAGGAGGCAGCCGATCGATGATTCTCTCTCATCGTTGATGCTTCTATATCTCTCCCTCTCCTTTCCTCTCTGAAATCAATAAAAATATATTTTTAAAAAAGATAAGAGGAAACTCTAAATGTCCTAAGGATGGGAAAAAATACTCGAGGAAGGAAAGCTTCGAAGGGGTGGCTCTGCGGGTAGCGGGGAAGTTGGCTGTTGGGTCCGTGGCTGAACACGCAGCAGGCAGCCGTGTGTGGAGCAGACGGTGAGGAGCAGTGAGCGCTGCCTGAGCTACTTCCTAACCACCAGACCATGGGATCGTCCTCAATTCATAAGCTCCGTGTCTGC